CGATTCGAGCATGGCCCTGGTGCAGGCCGAAGCACCTCCTGAGGGATCATTTGAACCGCCGCGTCTGACCAGACGGAACATCGGCGAATTCATTAAAGCCGATCCCAGCGGCTTGCGCGAGACTGCGGCATCGGTCCAGTACGGGATGCGTTGGGGCAAGGGGCTCGAGGAGATCAACGATGAGATCGAGAGCTGCCTAAACAATGCCAGACGACGCAGCCGGGAACGGCGTGCCCCAGCGGTTATCGTGGTGTCGTATGCCGGCAACGACGTGTGGGGGAAGCACGGGTTCGTCGGCAACACTTGGATTGACTCCAGAAGTGTACACCGGAATCCCGCTGTTCACCGCGCTGCTTCACAGTGCCAGCATGAATTAGCGAGGAGGCATTTCGCGCAGTTGGAGAGACTAGCGAACTTCCTCCAGCGCCCCGATGTGGGGGCCATATCGATAATAGCATATGCAGACGCGAATTCCTTTGGACTCCACCAAGATTTCGCGCGCGAGATGTGCTTGTTCGGTGACGCCGCCCAGAACAAGGGGTTGCTTGCTGTGACTGGATCTCCGCTCACACGTGCAACAACTCGCTACGATGGGTTTCATGCAGAGGACAGCGATAGCAACAGGACTGCCTACTAGCGATACTTCGTTGCTATGGCGAGGCTGACCTATCAGATGTGGCGATTGAAGGACTGTGAAGCGCTGCGGAAGCAAGCTCGCCTTCAACCTGTCATGACTCCGAAAGAGGAGAAAGCCCGTGCGGAAGCCGAGGCCCGAGAGAGATATCGTGCGTCCTACGTGTTTCTCGAGCCGCATGACCGATTCCCTGAGAACAAGATTATGATCGAACCCAACCTTTGCAAGACATGCGTGTACGCTGATGGTCACGAAGTGGCACTGTTGGACGAGATCACTGGGGAGCATTTGAAGGCCACTCCGGAGGAACTGGAGCGGGCTGGTATCATTTTGCCCCAGGGAACTGGTGAGCCAACAGTTGACGTCACCTCGTCACCTGAAAAGGACTCAAGCGTCAATGACCCTGTGGAGGATGACTTCGTTCCGGACTATGACCCTGATGACGAACCTCATCCAACTCAGAAGACAACGCTTCTTGCTGAGCCAACTGAGTCATGCCCTGACGAGAAGCTCATGAGCGTGAACGCTGGCAAGAAGGGCGCTTGGGAACACGTGTCTAGAGTTGAGATTGAAGAGTCAGACCTTCGTGTCAGATCGGACATCGACCAACCTCCTGAGACTGTCGATGAGATCATTGAGATCGTGGGCGATCACTACAAGGCTGCCCTTGCCGAAGGTTACCAGGACCCGCAGGATGACGCTCTTGAATCCGATGATGAAGAGATTGTTTTCAATCAGCAAATCGTCGGAGGTTCAAGCGCGCTGGAAAGCGTTGCCGATAAGATGAAGTTCAACAAGATCTATGCAGCCCAATACCTCGAAGGGGGTGCATTGCATCTTTCAAGGAACCCGCATGGAGCAATCTCCATGTCGAGCAACGCCCTGCGCCATTACACCGAGGCGGTCACAGGCAGAACTCTTCCTTTGCACTTCATCGACGATGACGGAGACGATGATGAGCTCCCGCCACCGCCGCCGCCGGCGGAACCTTGCCCGTACAAACGGGACAAGGACGGAGTTCACCGCCCGGTCGCAGAGGAACTGCCTGCTCTCAAAAGAAAGACTGCCGCTGATCTCGGTGCAGCTCCTAAGGCGAAGGCAGCACCAGACAGCCTCAAGAAGCTCCGAACTGGTGACAAAGTCGTGAATGTCGACATGTCCAGCTCGGCGGAAGCCGGAGCCAAGAAGGGCTCATCAGAGGTGGTCGATGTCGAAATGGAAGAAACGGCAGGGACATCTTCATCATCTGCCAATCCTCCCAAGGCGAAACACATGCCAAAGCCATCATCCGTGCCCAAAGCCGCAGCATCGAGTACTGCGGCCCCCGGAAGGGATGCGCCCAAATTGGTCCCAGCAGGAGGAACTCCGATCCGTACGACAATGCCGGCAAACCAGGTGCCGGGTGCTGCTGTGATCGGATGGTATGACCAGGAGCAGTTCTTTGTTTCAAAGCGTGTCTCCGGCCTGCTGCGAGGGCATAACCATGCCAATCGACGAGATCGCATTCCGCTTCCGGACTTCCAAGATGGGGCATGGATGGATTTTGCATCGGTGTTCTCATTCATTAAGAGGAGGTACTCCCGCTCCCTCACTGTGTCGGACTTGATTGACATCGTGACATCAAACCATAGATTTATGCTCGATGTGCAGCTTGCCCGCGAGGGGGAACTCTTCGCCGAGAAGTATCTCTTCCTGCCGGTGCGAATCAAGGCAATCCAATCTCACAACGACTGGATTCTGGAGAACATCAACATGGCGTGGCCCGAGGTCGACAGAATCATCTGTCTTGATCCGTCGTTCACGATCGAACGCCTGTTGCGACGGGAGCATCCTACGCTTCCAGTACGACTTGACTTGCACATCAAGGATATTCACCCCAAGATCTTGTACCACTACACTCATATCGCCTTTTTGGATGATGTGATCCGATGTGGCATTTGTCCGGGGGGACTCATGACTAGCAAGGCTCATTCGTACTTCTCGGCTTTCGATCCGAGCATTCAGAAGACGAGTCAAGCAGGAATGGCCTCGACCAGACCGGTTGCGGTCGCAGTTGATGTTGAGATGGCGGTGTCATATGGAATTAGGTTCGCCGTCACCCAAAGCCAAGCCGTTGTGACCACTGATTGGGTGCCGAACCAGTTCCTCATCTATGCGTATGACGTGTCAGCAAAGTGCTTCATCTATGCGAACCACGACTATGCAAAAGAGAGAGCCTCATTCAATCAGGATCTCCGAGACATTGTCGTGCGTCGCCGGGAACGGCTTGACCGTGGTGATGAGGCAGACGACAACGCCAGGAGGCAGTCATTGCTGGCAAGGTCCTAGGTGGGACCTGTTCGGAAAGTATGAGAAATGGGTGCATGGGGCCTGGGTGGAAAATGCCTTCATCCTCGAATCGTACAACCGTGAGTTTTGCAAGGACCAGCTCGAGCATGCAGATGCCAATATCGGAACATACTCAACTCCGTACATGGCAATTGCATGGCAGCCGGAAGGCGATGCCCCCAACAACTCGGCATGGCCTCTCTCGCTGGGATCGGTTGATTGGGCGCATTGGACCCCTGAGATGGAGATGCGCTATGATCCTCGGGGAAACGAAAGGTTCTTCACTTCACGGTGGATCACCGTTCGTCAGCACGACGTTGAGCCACAGCATTGCATTGACTGCGGATCCGATTCACCATTCGGATGTTTGTCGTGCTTGAACTGTGGACGACTGGCACGTGTTGCAACGGATATGAGAAAGGCATCGCTGCTTGTCCGTCTTGAAAACTTGGGCCGCAAGCTTCGGTTTCGACTTGTCATTGGACATGTTCCCGGATGACGATATTCGTGCCCGGGGGGACCGTGGGCTGAGGAATCCTGCAGGTGGTAGGATCAGGACTGGACAATCTGCCATGCGACGATCCGAGCACACGCCAAGTCGCACATGGACAAAGCGTCCAAATTGGAATTTGGCTCGCTCACAGAGCGGTTGTGCTTGGATCCATTCTACGCGTTCAACTGCGCGGCGCAGGACATGTCCCCTGACTGTTTGAAGTTTTTGCAACGTCTCAGCTCAGCGGTGTTGCCCATTCCGACGCGCACCGCCCAACAAATCCAAGAAGGGGTAGGCGTCAATGTGAAAGCAAAGATCTTGATGATCCCCGACACATCCCAGCGCGAGGTTGATGTGTCGAACGAGGTCTTTGTGTTCTGGAAGAACAAGATCCTACGCCCTGGTGTTTTTGTCGGACTGTACGCAATGGAACACCACCGCTTTGAGGTCTTGGGGTTCTCTGGCTCATTCCTCTCGGAAGAGAAGGACGTAGAGAAGCTGAAAACGGAGTTCGTTGGATGGCTGTCATCCGACCTCCAGAGCATCCCGTCCTACGAGAACCTCGTACGAGCAGACCCAAGGAACATCCATGTTCCGGAAAGGGAGGGTGTCGATCGAGCAAAGGGGAAAGGTAAGGGCACATGGCGCCACGGAGGTCGACAGGCCCGTGAGAATGCACCTTACCCAAGGAATCGATGGGCCCGTGATTGGAGGGACCTCGATGATGATGTTGGTACCATCCCAGGTTGGCATTATGCTGACTGGACCTGGTACCAAGACAACTACGGAGCGGACTGGTGGGGTCGCGGCCGATAAACCCCACCTATGCACGGCGGGAGCCGATGCCTCATGACAGTTGTGCTGTTCTTTTCATCTAGTGCTTGTGGTAGCGCATTGTCTTTTCGGGCGTCGAAATGCTCTCGGAAGTCCTTGCACGCGCTGCGGAAGCAGTTGCCTCACGTCACCTTCTTTGAGGCGGTCCGCATTCTTTGCAAGGCTTAAATTCGATTTAGCCGAAGTGCACTCTTCCTGAAACGGAAGCATCACTAATTATGCCGCGTGGAAACGTGTGCCTACGTAAAAGGCCCATTTCCAATTTGACGATCTGCGGATGCATGTGAAAAGAGCTGCGTCCGACTGCTATTCGTCCGTTCGGCATTTTTACTTCATAACTAATCGAGTTAATCGTCGTTCCTTCGCGCCTCAGGTCGGCAAAGAATCTATGAAAGCCACAGGCACGTACGGTGTTAACCATGAAAGGAAACACCGGGGAACCGGAGGTCAGATCGGTATGCACGTTGTCCCGTGTACATAGTCGTGTATAGTGTTCTTCACTACCTTAGCTGCCAAGTGCGTTCAGCGGGGGGTGTATTTGCACGATTGTACACCTGTACATACCATATTGACCTCTATGTTTGGCTCAAGAAAAGGGCGCTCTACATGTTGGTACTTGTAGGCTGTTGGCCTGTAAATTCAGATTACACTGCATATAGAATCTTGATTAATGGGGCCCCATGAATGTAAAGAGGTTTTACACTCCAAATGCGGGGCGGGTTAAGCAAGAGTCTATAGTTTTTCGAGTCAATCCCATGAGCCTGGTCCATGCGCTCAGCTGGTCCGGTGGGGTTTGCTCCGAAGGCCGCGGGGCTCAAAGGTTTGCCCCTCCTGTGGCCATGAGCGTTCCAGCGAACGAAGCCGAAGCTTCCAAGCCCAGCGAAGATGACTCATGGCCATGTTCATGCCATGTTCCATTTGCCCTCGAAAATGGAAAATGTGAGGATGATCCCAGCGCTCCTTGTTGTTCTGTTATATATATATATTTATTTTTTTAAAATGTGTGTTTGTTTTCTGTGTGCGATATTTTTTCTTCAACAACAGTACTGTATGCCAAGCGCTTGATCCCTAGGCTCGACTCGTCACCCTGCATCAGGATCGGCAGCTGCCCGCCTCCCCCGAGCAGAAGCCGGTGCTCAATCTGGGTAGTGATACCTCATCCATTGTGTCCATGCCGGGATCACCTGGAACCATGCGATCTTCTCGCTGCAAACTGGACCAGAGTCAGAGCGGGCAAACGGGCGTTTTTGGGGCGTTTTGGGGTGGATGACTCGATTGCAGTTGTGACTGGGGTCGGTCTTATTATGAGATATTATGAGGAAAGCTCGGGCGGAAAGCGCTGACGTGCAACAGCTTCTTCTCACAGTAAAACCCTCTCACATTCTCCCTTTGAGCATGTTCTACATGTGTCCACACTGAAGTTGCTGTCCTCTTGCAATCTTTTGAGATCTTGTGGGGATCAAGACCAACGCAGAGTTGCTAATGCCTTTCACGTCCGGAACTTCAGGAACTAAATGAATTGGAGCTCACCACGCAGTTTGGTCACAAAATATAGGATATAATATGCTTTATAGACCCCAAACAGATAGAACAGTACTGTAGATCCCCACTAAAAGTGTATTCGAGACCGTTTCTATCAAATTTGGCATCCACTTAGATATAGGCCAAGATCCCCAAAAGGTGTGCGTTGTTCTCAACGGGTGCTCGCGCGTGCTCGATGCAAAAAAAATAACTTCGGCTCCCCCCCGAAGTGAAGGCAGCATCCTCACCATCCCCATGGATCCAGAGCTTTTGCGAGCCGTGCCCCTGGACCTGGTGCTTGCACGCTTCGGCCGGCACTTGGAGCCACCCGATCAGGCGTGCACACCGTGCGACTGGGGCGGAAAAGGGCGGTGGATCAGTCCGGTGCTGGTCACCGAAGGTGCTGGTCGAATCTTCTCTGTTCTTCGAGTCGGTTGAGACCTGTGACACCATGTGACATGTGGCCAGGGCATGATGAATGTGGACTCCAAGCTCTACCATCTGAGCAGGCAAGTGGATCGATTCTCGAACGTGGTGTGTGTGGGGGTTGAAGGGGGGGGTTGCTTCAAGACAGGGTCAGACCACAGCTCAAGCAATTGGTCGCATAGGTAGTTTCAGAGTTGCACTTTAGTCCTACCATCCACCCGCATCCAGGTCATGGTAGCCTTAACCATTTCAAGACGGAAAAGGTTTGGTTCCGTCAATTAGTCTCGGATACAATTGAGATTCTTCGCTGTGAGAGAGGTCAGTGGTGGGGCATCTCAGAAGAAGGCCAATTCTCTTAACCTACCCCCGCTGCTCCCTTCCTGAGGGGTGAGAGGTGGTTACCCGGCGTCGCTCAGTGACCTGGATCACACTGGAGAGATAAACAAGGTGGTCACCAGCGGCCTCAAAAAATACACCTGAAGTCTGGTTTGAGAGATTGTGTTTCATACAAGATCCAGATTCCAGAAAGAATGTCACTGGTGTCAGCTTTGTGCCACCGATGTCAGTGCGAACCATGTCACCAAGGAATCGACCACTTTCTGAGCCACGATTGGTCGACGGCGCGCAGATGGAAGGTTTGCGCGCTCCTGGTGCTCTTCAACACCGCCGCCCGGGCGAAAAGGTGGGTCGTGACGGGGGTGGACGATGGTGATTGACTGTCCCGGCCCATGGACTGGAAGTACCCCGGGGGGGTTCACAGCGGACTGGGAGGACGGACGCTTTGTTTGAGTCAGAGTCATGGAAGGCAAGGGACGCAGGTGATTTGGTGCTGACCACCATGGCAAATCGACTCCATCCAGTGTGTTCCATACCAGTGAATCGACTGCATCCGAGAGAAGGGATTCGGGATCGCTTTCCGGTCTTGGGATCGTTTTCCGGGTTCTCCACCCTGACAGGCGCATCATGGCCCCCGGGTGTTGAAGCTGGAAAAGCTTGGTTCATTTCGGGCGCGGGTAGCCCGAAAAGTGCAATGGTTTCAACGGGGGCCCGCGAGATGATGAGTCATCCTACCCAATCTGCAGAAGATATCTCCTATAGTCTCCTACCAGCCATCTGAGGTGCCTGCTTGCTTGGTGACCACCTTCCTGAGCTTCACATTTGGATTTGTTCTGTCCATTTGGGCTCCGGGATACAAAGATCTTGTGGGAGTCGAACGTGTCTGGCGTGTGAGCATGGGCATGACTAGCTTCTGGCTTTGCTTATGCTTATGGCAGCGGATCCGGCGTCTTTGGAAGCAGAACGTGGTCTTCCTCGACAAGCTGTGTATTGCGCAGCATGACGAGGAGTTGAAGAAGAAGGGCATCTTCGGACTCTCCACGCTCCTGGACGCTCGTTTTTCCCTCGGAGCTGACATGGAAGTGGACCAAACCATGGCAAACCACCCCAGCTGGTAGAGGAAGATGGCAGTGTATTTTCCAAAGACCGTTTTCGACGTGGATCTTACTTCCCGCGAGTGTATGGCCCCTTTTTTGGCCCATGTGTCCCATGTTTGCACCACTTAGAGGATTGGACCAAAGAAGGGGGTTCCACTACCTCGATCTTTCAAGAACAAAAAGGCTCAGGACACCACAACATGTAATTGACCGCACCATGTAAGGCGTTTGGGGTTTTTAAACTGCCCAGCAACGCCCAGGTTCCTCGAGCATTCAGAGACTTTGACCATCCTGTGGTCGCGACGTTATTTCTCGAGACTTTGGTGCGTGCCACTTGGTCGCGACATGTGGACTGCAGAGCACGCAGTCCGCCAGGGCAGGGAGGAAAAGGTTCAAAGAAAGACGTGGAAGTTTGGGCTCCAAAGGAAGGGGTCATTGAGGCTATATATAATATATATCAACATATGTTACATATGTTGGATCTTCCTTTGGAGCCCTTGTCCAAATAGGTCTTAGTCACTGAGTGTTTGGCCCTTTGGGTCACTGGGATTTGTCATGATTTGTCCTATGACCTGTTACAGTCAGTAAACAATCAATCATCACTACTATTGATCAAGGCCTTTGCTAACCATAATCATCCACCCTTTGCTGGTAATAGTAATAGGATAGACCCCAAAAGTGTGTATACAGGTCTGTAGAATATCAGATATCGTGCATATTCTGTAGCACCTGGGATTTCAACGCCCATTGATTTTTACATGTCTTTACCAAACAGCCATTGTTTTACTGCGATTTGTGGACGCCACCAGGTCAACATGTAATTGAATTTGGTATTAGCTCGTGTAGCAGGCTAGCTTGCGGGGTAGCTTCGTGAAGCAGCTTCGCCTTGGCCTGGGGAAGGGGCGGACCTTGTGGACGACCAGACGTGTGCCGGTGGTGGTGGCCTCTGGATGTGTTCCAATGCAAAACGCCTTGAACATCAATCATCTTAGAGCAACGATTGAACTGGATGCATATATCATATATCATATGTCCACTCCCGAAAACTCACATGGACCCTGTGGTTTTGGGACCCGGAGTCCGGCTGTTTTCCTCTACAAACCAGTGGTTTCCAGGGTCCATGTGAGTTTTCCACGGTATATATATATAATATATCATATATCGAAAGCAGTGTACACTATGCGCCCTCTGCGATAGTTTCGCACAGCCACTTTTCAAGCATTTTCCTTTTGGCATTAACATTTGCATGTCATTGTTTCATGTGCCACACTGCATTGTTTCGGCTTGGGCGTTCGCGAGCGTGGCGCAGTTTTTGTCTCGAACCGTGCGGTCTCGACGCAGCTGCAGGTTTGAGCTTTGCACCTTCTTGCGCCATGAACATAACAAACGAGTTGTGATGATGCCTGTGAACCTTGCGTCGCTCTTCCTGCTTGTGATCGTTTTGAATCAGGCGTGATCAACAAATCGGAGCGGAAAATCAGCATGGTGGGGGTGTGATCGTGTTGAAAGACCATCCTTAGCGGCTTTTAGTCTTTTAGTGCACACACTGAATTGCAGATCTCACCATGCAGGTATATATGCAAGTGTGGGTCTTGTTGATCAGGCATGCTCTATTCTACTGCCTGTTCATGTATTCCATGCATATCAACCGTCAGAAGTAGAGAGGGTAGAGTAGAGAATTTGCATCTCGTGTTGAAGAAATCCAAGGTCCAAAGATCTTGAAGTCCAAAGTCCAACAGTTTTGGTAGGAGTAGTTCTAGTAGTTCGACACAGTATAACTAGAATTAAGTAGCCTCCACGGTCCACGAATGAATGAGGTATCACTTGGATTGTTTCATCCCTCTCTGGTCAGTTTCCGTGTTGTGAACAGACGAAGGCATCATATGGAAGTGAACATGATGAGTTCGGCTCGAAGGATCTGGTGTTAAAACATGTTAAAACGTGACGCATGTGGTTTCAACACCTGCGTTCTGAACGCACTGTGCTGAGCAAATTCTTTTTGACCTTGTGCGTTCTGAAAACGATCCTTTTTAGGAGGCGAGGAGGCGAATCCTTCTTCCCAACCCACCAAGAAAGATTTACATAGATTTACAAAATGTTTGGTTCCCTCTTTCTACATGTTTGGACATGGACGCATACATCTTTGCATACTTGTCGAAGCAGCACAGGAACCTGTTTCATGTCTCAGGCCACCAGGAGACACGGGTTCCAACATTCTGACTCCATTGCTGGTCGGGACAGAACGTGGCGTTTTGCGTTCGGTGTCGGGTTCACAATTGGAAGACGATTTGCCTCTAAAACATTTAAAAGTAGCTTTCCACTTCATTTTAAAAATTTGTGGTGTTGATGTTTCTACTAAAATGCTTGCCTCTGACACTGTTTTTCTTTGACTGATAAGAAAACAAAGCGCAGCCAGGTCGTCACCATGATGAACGTGCTGTTCGATACAGTGACGGGGCTCAGCGTGTCCGCTCAAATTACCATAAGGACGGACCTGCTCCGGGATCGAACGACCCAAATCGCTGGTTTCTGATTGATGACCCAGTAAGACGAGACGCTTGATGGGACTGGCATATTTACTGATTCAGTTGGGGTGCTTGAAGAGGGGTCAGATATGTATGTATATACTGTAGATGGAGTATTTGAGACAGAAGAGTACCAAAACGAGCATTTCTGAGTCCGTTTGTGCAGAGTTCAAAAACCCCACGCACGGTGGGACCATGAGTCAATTGAAATAGTCGTCGACGGGTTTAAGGTGCGAAGGTTTTGGTGCAGAACATGAGGAACGGATACCGACGTTCCTCAAACATATGGCGGAAAAGCAACCTACTAGCGGACTATAGCGATGGCCTCCAACCTACTAGTGATGGCCTCCAACCTCATAGCGATGGCTTGGCGGCCTGTTTGATGAGCGAACGCCCTAGGGCTCCAGTCATACCTCCTCAGAAGGTATTTGGACCCTCCTGGCACCCACCCCAAACACCTTGTCAGAAGGTTCTCTTTGACCCTGAGCACATACATACACACACACAAACCCACTTCATGTGGCAAGCATTGTGGCATGTCGGTGTTGCCATGTCAGTGTTCTCTAACGGCGAGTGTCCTGAAAGGGACAGGTGAATCGTGACTCTGGTCGAAGGCACATTTGCAGACCTGAATCATCCTGTCACAGCCTCAAGGCCTCTAGATTGCAAAACTGCTGAAGCATTCACAAATCAGGTGCAGGTACCGCGAGTTAATCAGACTCGGTATCCCATGATTGGTACCTTCGTTGAGTGCGGTCCCACAATCATGCCGCACTTCCCTGCTTGCAAGGTAGAGAAAAGAAAAACCATAAAGTCTCCCTCTAAATCCAAGGGTTGCGCATTCGCCCCCCTACAGGGGGCATGAGAAAACACATGTGCGCGCAAGAAAGAACAGATGAAAAGGCAAGAAGGAGAGACATGAAAATAACTATTACGCGCAAGGATGTGCAAAGTATGCGAGGGCCATGAAAAGGACAACTGATGAATCAGACCTCATTATAACGAAACTCCGGGCACCTCCCAATCTGGTTTCAATGTAGATGTGCACGCGCACGCTGAGGGCCAGACGTGCACGCGCAAAAGAAAGAATGAGACGAAATGATCCGACATGAAGGCTGAAGAGACATGAAAAGAAAAAGGAAAACTTGTGTTTGTGTGAAGGCAAATGTAAAGGGAAGCCAGATGAAGTAACGTAGGAGTGTTTTAGAGCCACAAGAAAGACATAGAAAAACAAAAAGAAACGCTGATACCATGGCCACCTGACACCATTCCAGGTGCTCGGTTGCAATGCCATGTAACAGCTGCTGGATCGGAAACGGCTGACTCAGCAAGGAAGTAATCAGAAAAGGTGCAGCGACCAAGCTTGTTGTTTTCATTGGTCGAAAGCATCTAGACAAATAGTCTAGGTCTAGGAGTCTAGCCTGTGAGTTGTAACTACACGCGAAACTTGACGATTGCATCTCGAATGGTGCATCTTGTGATTGGAAACATTCACAGACCACTATGACTATATCATCAATTCTTTTAGGAAGAGAATGAGAGAGATGTGTGCGGCTATAAGTCAAAATATTCACATAAATTATACATTTGAAGTGGAACAGCACCCTCAACTAAGGATTGAGACGTGAAAGTCCGCACACGCGCAAGACTTTGCTATTGCTTGTTCCAAAAGTTTGGAGAGCAGGCCTAAAGGATCCTAAAGGTACACAGCGGACATGGACCAAACAGCAAAGACGAAATCAATGCATGGACCTTTGATGGTAGCCTTTGCCAAGAAGAGGAAGAGCAAGTGAGTTTAGCTCACCACTCTGATTTGCCACCCTCAAGCTGCTGAATTTGGGTTGGTGCAAACTGGAATTTGGTTTCAGTCCATGTTCCCTTTGGCTCCGGGGCTCGAAGCGATCTCCATACACACATGAACACTCCATGTTCGCGATTGTTCGCCCGACCCGCCCACATTGATCCTTGAAGCCACCCATTAGTTGGTAAATGTAGTCAAAGTTCATTCGAATATCATGGAGTGCCGGCGCATCAATACAAATTACATCAAATTACTAACACAATCTAACACATACAATATACCAGATGCGCGCACCAATTACGGCAATTGTTTCCCATAGTAATGCGAGGAGCCTTCTTGTCATTCCTGCTTATGCGATGCTTGGCGGTTATTTCTTTGGGGGTGCTGCAAGTTTTCTTTGGAATAAATAAATAGATACAATTAGATAAACATAGCTTTTTACATCATAGTAGAAGGAACCAGGTTGAGCAAAAAATCAAGCGATTTTTTCCCGCAGGGGTTTTAAAAAGAACATGTTTGTTGTTAAAACATCGTTTCTTCACCTGCGATTGTAAGCCAAAAACCTCGAATACACATGTTGTTTTTTAACTTTATGCTGCCCGTCGCACTGCTCGCTGTTGGGGTCATTGGAAAGAATGGAAAGAAGTGTTGCTTTGAAAACCGGATGTGTCCAAATACTCCGCGGTCGAAATACGGTTGCTCGTCTCCTCCTTCAGCCGCGAAGCCGCCTCAGGGTCATGATCGATGCCGGCATGGAATTGATTCGAGACTTGCGAGACCTCTCAAAGCAGCTCCAAGACTTCAGTGTGGACCGTGCCGAGTGCTTTTGCTGCTCTAACAAGCACATTCATCCGACCACTGGTCAAGCTTTGCCTTGCGACCGCGAATTGGTGGTGGAAACGCTAGGTGGGGTTGTTGGAATACCAAATGGTTCAGGGAATATCGTCCAGATTGTTTCCATTTGCTTCGAGTCCAGACGCTTATTCCCATGCTTGTCCCATCGTGGAGGAGCAGAGGTGGTCCCAGGTCAAAGCTGTGTTGATAGGGCACGCCACTCAGAACAGACTCCTTTCGTATCCTTTCGTGTTCTTCTGGGCAAGCCGTTTCGCTTGTGACAGGATGGCTGGGTCAAACACTGGCGAACGTAGGAGGGGGGTTCCAAAGTCCTTCATATCCACCCAAACGACGCGAACGTAGGAGGATGGTTTGGCAGCACCCGCGCTTTCGAATGGTTGGTGCGCGAACGTTTGACACAAAACGTGGAGAACTCCATCCGGGCCGTTCTCACCGCACAGTATCCCTTGTATGTGGCTTGGCTGCTTGCGGACCGGGCCGGGCATCCTTGGGCACGGTCCGGCGCTTGGGGCACCTTCTTCCCGAAAGGGTGGGCCACTTCAGGGACTCGACGTCTCTACGTCGGTCTTTCATGGTGAGATAGATCCATCTCTGGCCTCTGAGACTAGATGAGTGGATATGACAGGGGCACCCAACTCCTTCCTCCGTTCGGAACCGGCAAGTCGGCATGGAACTACTGGTTTATACGGTTTATAGTCTTTGGATGTCTTTGGACATTTTTGGACCATTGGGCTACAACGGAAGGCCTCCAAACAAAGGCCACAAGAACGAATGGCCTTGTGGTCCAGGTGGCCGTGGCCTCAACGAGCCCCCTTCTCATCCTGAAGATTTGTGAGATCGCCGAAGAGGACAGCATCTCCGTGGACTTGGTGGTGACTCACTTCGCTGATTGGTGCAACTCGTCGTTAAATCCGGCCCGGATTTGCGTGGCGGTGGAGGTGCAACTCGTCCTTGTGGACTCAGGCTTGAGGTTTTGGGGAGCAAGTGCCCAAATTCATACACCAAGTAGGAGTTTTGATGGATCTTTGGTGTGCTTGATTCTTTCACATGCCGTGACCATCAGTGACTAACGTCATCAATGGAAGGATCCTTTTCACCTCGTCCAGCACCACAAATCTACTGCAAACCTCAACAAGGGCCACCAAGGACCTCCAAGGGCTGCTCGAGCGTTGAAAGGCACCTGCGGAGGGAGGGAGTAATCATCCGTCGCGTGCTTGTCAAGAAGTGTATGAAGACACCATCACCGCCATTTCCCACACACTCCGTGTATGGCATATGGTATACGGTATACTACATTGGGGTTGTTAAACAAAGGATTCTTGTTTCCATACATTGGAGTGTTTAGGTTAGGAGTTGGATTCTTTTTGTGTCCAGTCTTGAATTCCCAAGCGCAGCCCCTGACACCATCGAGTTGCGTGGAGTTGCGGCGCGCGGGCTTTGGATGGCTTTTGGTAGGGTTTTGGCGTGTTCTCTTGAAAGCCTCTTGCCACATGCCCACTGTGCGATCTGGGGTGACCAGTTGGTACCCAGGCAAGCTTCCTTTAGTGAACCTCCTGAGTATTTGGCTCATGATCTTGGCGTGCCAATGCGGGGCTTGCATTTCGCGAACATGCCGTGCCTTGGAGAGTTGCTTTTGGTGTAAACCCGCAGTCCCGGAGGGAAGGAAGCAGTCCGGAGCTTTTTGCGAGGTCTTGGGTGGTAGACCCATTCAGGCGCTGGTGCCGTTGGTGGGTCAAACAAAGTGTTTCGAAGTCACTGGACCTTACCTGTCCATCCAACGGCAAGGGATGGAGTTGCAAAGGCTTGCCGGTTTGCCTGAGTTTCTCCCACAAACTAGCCGGAGCAGCTCTCAAGGCTCTCAAAATTGAACTAGCGCTGGCGCTAACTGAAGCCTGTTTTGTGACTGAAGAAGCAACCATCTATGGATGTTCAGCGGTTTAAGAAGCAACCATCTATGGATGTTCAGCGGTTTTCCAGTGAGCTGTGTGGAACTAACGCTAGTTGCACCCAGATCACACGTGTGGTGGCTTGATCTTTGGTCCTATAACAAGGATGGTGCTGGAATCCCTCCTTCTGAGCTCAACAGGGTCAAGCCTCGAGTGCTACTGATTCAGGCTGCACACCAAAAACAGCTCAATACATTGAACAAGGGCTCACACAATCGGCGAGACTCATGTCTCTTTCTGACTTCCTTTCATTACTTCCGGCATCCGGGGCATGTAGAAGCGGTTCATCTCCAGTGATTATTTGGAGAAGAAGCTCCACTGACTCTGGTGGACGCCCGCTTCGGTCGGTGGACACCGCCTTCGGTCGCCCGAGCTCCGGTGTGCGACCGGACCGTTAAGCCGCGTTACACGAGCTGCGTGTGTCATCGTGTGTTTTTGTTCCAGGCTGGGCACCTCGGACTATGGTGGCACTAGTGCTCTCCTGCCTGGCTTTGGTGATGCTTTCACCCTTCTGGGCCTTCATGGAGCTCTTGGATGTCTACTCCAGCTCCTTGGATCGCCATCACCATCCGGTGATCCGCGACATCCGACCTGTGGAGACCCGTTTGAGGACCCAAGGTGACCCAATGTGACCCCGGGCAGCGAGCGTGCGCCTCCGGTGGCCCATCACGGCCGTTCGTTTTGGCTGCGGTGGAGGCGAAATCACATGGATCCCAGACACTCCATGTATGCCATATATGCCGATCAGTTGGGGTGGTTTTGGGGGTCAATGTAGGCATATATGGCATACATGGAGTGTCTGGGGATATTATATAGGTGTCAAGGCCGGGTTACCGCACTGGGCCAAAAAACAGGGTGGACCAACGGCAAGGCCAGACCGGCAAACAGACAAGAGTGTCTCAACCAAGGTGGCAAGGCAGGGCTGCTGGTCTTTCCGGTCATTTTCCTGCTTTGGTTGCATGGCATTTGTCGGTCGAAGCTCATGCGTGTGCCGCGCGAGAACAAGATGGAGAACTGGGAAGCCCCTCGGTTCAAGCGCAACTCCGTGAGCCGTCAGAAAGACATGGGAAACATGGAAGCTGGACAGGTGGAGTATGTGACTTCGACGGAGATTGACAACGTTTCCACCTTCTCAACATGATGCATTCAAGGTGCCACTGAATGAGACATTTTTAGGACACTCAACGGTTCCCATTATTTTGCAGAACTGGACTCAGCCATGTACAGTATCTGGCAACGCTGCGTTGGAACGACGGCAGAACTTTTACACTTCATTTGAAAGGTGTTGGGTCTCTGGAGAAAGACCTCCTCACTCACGTGGAAGTTCAAAACCACAAGCGTTCGATATTGGGACAAAACAACGTGTTCCCAGTCATTCTGGCCCATATACTTATGTAAAGATTTTCCTACACTCGGGGTGGTTTCAGGTGTCAACCGGAATATATCAAAATGTGCATGCCGTGCATGCATAAATATTCCAAGATTTTCATGTTGGCGAGTTGGAGAGCAGCCCGACCGAGGGCCAAGGGTCAGTACTGGCGCCAGTGTACGACTCTTTTAATTCATCCTGGTAACCCACGTAAAGCGCCCCTTTTGAAACCATGGGAGGCGAGTTCCAATTACTTTGTTTAGGGCGCTTGGCGCTTGTTCTTTAAATCAAAATATATCACAAATGGCACATCTCATGATAGGGAGCCCGTGAATATCAGCCACCCACCCACCTACCGAGTCTTCTCCAGGTCTCCCGGCTCGGAGACCGGTCTCCAGGGACCCTTTCTTTTTCCGCAGACCGGTCCCGCGTGCGCATCAAGAGGCCGACGGTGCAGTGGTCGGGAGGTCAAGGGTCCCCGGCCTTGTCCGGTGACGACTGGTCGCTGTTCCGCTGGTCGCTTTTCCGCCGGGTGGTGGTCGTTTCGGCTCCGGCTCTTTTTCCCGCCGGAGCCGCGCCGTTTTGGTTGGAATTGTAGCATGTTTGGGGGGGGGGGGGAAAAAGTGAGGCACTCCGGCCTGAAGACCAATCTTTAGCGCAGGAAATGGTGGCATCCACCTCTCCTAAGGAGTTGGGATCGCCGACATATGTGAGATCTGCTGGCAAAATGATTGTGCAGGTGAGAATGCTGCGGTGTGGAGAAAGTGTTTGGATTCTTGGAGATGGGAGCATCACATGAATGGATTGGGTCTGTCCTACTACCTGTAACAGTCAGTAAACAATTATCACTATTTTTGAACAAGGCCTTTATTATTTATTAACCATCATCATCCACTTGGTCAGAGCTGTAACTGTACCTTGAAGGACACACACAGCCGATTGATCGTGTGATACTTGAGCTCAAAGTTCAGTGGGCTGATGTGGGCTGTGTTCCATTCACTTAATAGAAGTATTAATGGATTTTAGAGGACCTGATTTATGAAATCATACCCCCACTTTTTACCGCCTCATCATTTTGTAAGTCTTACAAATTGTTGTTATACCAATGCAGCCTTAAAAGTACCTCGATGATGAAGACCATGTGATCGGCTCCAAACCGACCGCTCGGGTGCAGTGACTCGTGGTTCAGCGCGCGGTGCACCCAGGTCAAGACCCGAGACGCGACGCGGGGCCAAAAAGGAGCGAGTCGGATGCGGCCGATTTCTCAGTTCGTACCTCGGAAAAGGGGTACAAGATATTAATAATATACCTGTCTTTATGGGGTCAAGTCATGTCATGTCATTGCCATGTCCCATTTTACCAATGGTACTTTGGAGGGTCCAGGATGATAGATGAAGTTACAGCACCAGTATGACTATTTTCATAGCAGCGGTTGTCCAGGATCGGAAAGGACTTGGGTATTTCTTGACTGGCTGATGTTGTATTGCAGGATGACTGGAGGCTTCAAGATGTTCATTGGAAATTCGACCGCCTTGGTGAGCATAGCTAGCCTATACAGGGGACTGAAGGATCGACTGACCTATAGCACTGCTATAGTATGCCTTGCAGTGTTGGCACCGCCCAAGCTTCTGATCGCAGAGTAGAGTTGTACAGAAGTGTTTGAACAAACAAATCAGAGCAAGACTGCGTGATTCCGGTTGTTTGGAGGATGTGATTTGCATGATCCTGCAGTCGTCCCTATTGCTTTGATCCATCCTTTGCAGGTTACGAGCACCATGATCCATAGCGCATAGCATTTGTTCATTCAAAGAATGAGCAAGATTATCATTTGACCATCACTTCATGGAAAGACCTGGTGAGAACAGCGCCCTGTCCGTCCATGGAGTCCATCGTCATAGGGGCAGGCCCCGACCAAGACCACGACTGTGGTCCCCAGTCCACGCACGACTGGGGCATCACCCCGGGCAGCGACGGTCCGCGACGGTCGACCATGTCAGACAGGCCACTGGTTGATTCAAGGGGGGATATCCTACCGACCGGTCCTGACGCACCAAATAGGTATGGTAGTAATGTATGGCACCGACTCGCACCGACCCCCTCCGAGTCCCCCCGACCTGGCCCCATGCACAGACCGGACGACCGTCCGGGGCACCTGACACACACGCCGTCCCGACCGCGATGGCATGGGCGTCAGCTCCTCCGAGCTGGGAGGCGCCGTCCGATCAAGCACCGAACCGGTGTTCACGTGGCAAACAAAAAAGAACCATGTGCTTGGACAGTCTATCCAATCAATATCTAATACATGCATATGAAATCAGAAAACTCAAAAGCCTATAAACAAGGACGCTACTAGGGGCTCCTGGCATCGCTACTAGGAGCAAGGACGCTACGTTCGGGGCTCTTGGCCTTACTAGCTAGGAACAAAAAGCCACTACGAACACGTAAAAACTAATAAAAACATCTAAAACTTCTCCAGGTGAGCCGCCTTCGGATGCTCCGCTGTGCGTGGAGAGCTTTTCGGGAGCGCCCTGGAGCAAACCATCGGTGCAGGTTGCTTCGAAGCGGCGAACGAAGCTAAGGAGAGATCCCTGGAGCTACATGGGGAAGCAATGAAACCAGTGAATCTGTCGCAGTGTAGGGGCCAAAAGCTCATTGTTTTGGTAAGTCCTTTTAAAAGAAGCATTTTGGGAACTAACCAAAAAGCGATCCTATCAAAGCAAGAACACTGTATTTTTGGAGTCGAGGGCCATGAGTCGTGAGATGTCGGCTAAATCTCCGGTGAATGAGCGTTCCGAGTGTGATTGTCATAATTGTCTATTTGGCCCATCAGACTGGAAATGTCGTACACCCTTTTAAAAAAAGATGTGGATCAAAGTGAATAGTGATGTTTTTTTTGCGGACATGTGGACCTATATGCCAGACGCTCCATGTGTATGACCTACAGTCATCCCTTTTCACCCACCCCAACTTCCAATCCCATGGAGCGTTTGGGTATGATAGGAATCCCTCCAACATGTGGTGGAAGTCATGTTGCAGTGGGTCAAAACCTGCTCAAAACCCGGTAGGTTGACCCCTGGTGATCTATTATGTTATGTTTAGTATTATGTTTATAATATAGTTAATAGCCCGGGCCTTCAAGGGGTGGTTAACGGCTAAGGGGCTATAAATAGACGCCCCTTGGAGGGTCCTGGAGATGTTGATTAGCTATAGCAATTTTGTGCATTTTCAGATCATTACGCTGAACTCTTGTGCAAGTATCGATGGTCAACCAGGGTCCTCCAGTGGGTCCCCCTGTTTTGACTCACTGCCGTGGTTGATTGCATCATTTTATCCGCTCCACTCAGGAGAGACGTCTCCTGCCACTCTTGCGCAGCTGGGCGGTGGGCAGCTGCGTGTGGTCCGACCGCACCTGGCTCCGGAGCCGCGTTTGAGAGCAGAGAGGCGGAGGTCGGTCGTAGGTGCACGATGGACTGGAAGAACATGACTTGGTGGCAAGATGAGAAGGATTGGGCACTGATGTTCGCAGGTGTATAAACAGGAACGAGGACGCTACGTTCGGGGCTCCCGGCATCGCTATACTGGGAGCGATCGGACGCTACATTCGGGGCTCCTGGCCTTACTAGCTAGGAACAAAAAGCTACTAGGAACATGTGTTTCTGATGTAGAAGGATTGAGCCAACACGATCGACGTCTTGGACGTTCCGTGCGCAATAAGCGCTATACTATCAGCGCACTCTAAGGACCTACACTCGCATGGGGGGCTTCACCCTCGAGGCCTTCCAGTTTAAGGCCCGGGACGGACGCGGGACGCGGGATGAAACGCTTCACGCGGAAAGCACGCTGAGACCTGAAGAGGGGTGGTGGATCAGGACCTGAAGATGGCATCCCTGATCTACCAATTGGCCTCCCGAAGAGGGTCTCATGGTGGTTCGGTGGAGTGGTGCGATGGATTTTTTGGGGGGGGCATCACATCCATTGTTCTCCTGTGGGCCCAAGCCCTTCCTGTGTTGCTTGGTGAGTCAAACGCAGATGGCTAAGAGCGAGAGCACACGAGATCCAACGAGACACCGACACATGACGAGGACTGCAGGACGTGACTGGACTTCCTGGTTTCAGCAGACAGCTGCTTGGCCGCCCGCTAAACTGGCTAGGGCTCTTGGGTGTGTCTCAATCTGTGTTTTTCATCAAACCCATGGGAAAACACCTAAAGGGCCTGGCCCATGGGTTTTCATGCGTTTTCATGAAATCGTGAAACCATTGGAACCACCGGAACCATGACAGGAGCACCAGACTCCGCAGCGACCGCGGTCCGTGGTCGAGGCCTATGGTGCAGTGGACCGCCGCTGGGCGCGGGTGGAGGTCAAAGCACCCTCGCGCCAAGGTGTCGACCTGGTCGCACCCGATCTCCGGGGCGATCGGCGCCGTGTGTGACGAGGGTTCGACGAGGAGAGTTGGTTCGAATTGGAAGAAGGGTTTGATGACCATATTACGGACATACGTATTGGAGTGCAGAGGGGAGGATCACTGGCCACCAACAACTCTCCATTTGGGCGATGTTGGACGCAACGGACACAGGATCATGCAGTCACGCTGGTATGGTCGTGCAACTGGCCGGGACCAGATCACATTTCAACAGCAGGGCATCCCGTCAAATGCACCAGCTGGGCACGGAACATGCCAGGAATTCATGAGGTGCAGCCAAGAAGTGCTGCACATTTGGATCGCACAATCACGTTTTGGGGTTGAATCTCTACACAAAAATGGACCGGAATAGACATAGACTTGCATAGAATTGCCACGAATCACATCGAATCACGAAGGAATGGTTTTGAGATGAAATGGAAAGAAGAACGTGTTTGGCCAGATATTTTTGTCCATCACTCATGAAATACATTTCGATATGTATTGTACATATTACAAATTATTACAATCTTATCCAATATAGTGTAGTGTAGACCCATACCTCATATCAAGTTTGACTCGTCACAGACCCTACGAGTTGATGCGCTCGCCGAGTCACGAGGGTACTCGACTGTTGACTCGTCAGGCATCACGGTGTACCTCTTGGGCGAGACGAAGGACGGAGCGGAGTGGACCGGGAGGTGGTGAGACGGTGAAAAGGAGAGAGGATGGTGAGGTGAAATGAACGCCGTGCTTTTTCAGGGACATGGGGACATGGAAAGCGTTTTGGACTTTTTGTGTTGCATGGTGGGTCCTTACACCTTGCACCTTCCGATCTCATTTCCCCCCACCAAAACAAATGGTGCTTTGGGGTTTGGACAGATGCCAGTTCTGTGCGATTCACCTGTTTGAGCCTTTTTGTTGTGACGAAGAGCGACGAAGGGTCACATGCCGTCTTCGATGTGTTCTTCGGACAGTCAGAGCTTTCAAAGGGCCGGACGATCATTCGTCAGTAAAAACGGAGGTTGGCCCAAAGACCCTTGGTAGTGAAAGAACAAGAACATTGGCAATGAAATTCTCTGCAAAGACGGCCAATTCTTTTCCAGAAATGGTTTGTTGTATAAACCACTGCTATTTTGATTGGTTGAAGGTAACCCGTACCCTCCCAGAAATAACACAAAACGCCCATGGAAGATGCTGTGTGATGGTGTTGGCTTTTATCCTGCTGGTCCCAGAAATTGAGCAGCGTCCCAAACCTCCATGCAAGGGTTTCATCATGGTTTGTTGGGCAAAGACCTTTCTCATGGTTAGTTGTTTTTTTAACCTTGTTGTACATGTGTTCCTTTTCCGCTGGTCCCCCAATGTGAGGAAGTGGATGCACCCTGGGCCTTCTCTGCTGGCGCTCCACGCTTGGATCACGACTCCTGGAACGATGTGTGTGAGACCCTGCCGGACCGGGTGCCCGCGCGCGCGCACGACAACGCAAAAAGCTTCAGCGAAGGTACACCCGGAATCACCATCAAAGGGCTATTATACAATAGACCCCCTAAGCTTAGGGGGCCCTGTTTTTGTTTTCCCGATCATCCCGGATCTTTTACTGAACTAGTAGGGAAGTGGTTGATTTGGATACGGAAATTTGATGGATGCTACCGGCTGAAGCTGGTTTGTTTCAAGTTGGAATATCCAGTTTGACCACTTTTTGATGATGACATGCACAGTCCCAGGTCACCGCACCTATATGGAGGCTCGTTGAGGTCGTTGAGGTCTACACCATGTCCACTCCAACACACGCATGAGAACTGTGCTGTGAGTCGACTGCAGAAGACTGGCAGTCGATGCTCACACCCGACTTAAGACGACCTGACTGAAACAACACGGTCATTTAAAGCTGATTTGCTGGCCACTTGGAGAGGTTGGCATGCCGCATTTCTTGGATCCCAACATAAAGGACATCGATGGAGCGGATCCTGCCACTGTGACGTGTCACCCCGAGAATATGGGAACGGCCGGCAGGTGAGTTTTTTTCCGAACACCGGCACATGAGGATGTGCGTTTACGATTTGAGCCAGCAGCCAGTTCATCCCTGGTTCTTCGTAATTTAATGAAGGTGTCAACATACTAGTGTTTGAAACCTCTCCACAGGAATATGAAGCGGGCGCGAGCTACCGGTGCCTTGGGCTGGAGGGATGGACATCGGCGACCGGGGGCACGGGTACGACTCAAGGACAACAATGAGTTCGGTTTCAAATGGTTAATTTGGCGCGCGTGCAGAGCCAGAGCTCCAATGGAGCATGGGCCATGGGCTCGACCATAAAAGAGGACCCGGGACAGTACGTGGAGGTGAGGAAGGGATTGAAATTGATTGAACTCACTTGGAGTATGGGAGGTAGCAACTGGACCGAGCTTCATGGAAGACAACCTTGGTGGGTGGTAGGAGGATGGGATGTGAGGGGTGGTAGGAGGATGGGATGTGAGGTCTGTTTCAAAAGGCCAACGAACCATATTTTGGATGTGAGTCAAAACCTCTTCAACCAAACCATGGAAGGTTGACATCCCACTTACAGAGGAATCAGAGGAATCTATTCATGTTCGATGGTCAACCAGGGAGCCTTTGACCCACAGGCATTCGGAGATCTGATTGGTTAAACCCTAGAAGTCCAAAGACTATATTTTGACCGGCTGAAGGAAAGGAAGTTCCCTTTCAGGTCCCCTAAAGACCATTCTTTTTATAGTCTTTGACTTGATTGGTTAAATGTTTACTCAATTTTACAAAGTGTTTCCAGGACGCCCCAATTGAAGTGTTTGAATCGATTGGGATCTTTGGAACCACGAGTTGGAGCGCAGGGAACCTTTGGTTCAACAGAAGTTACAGAAGTTGTTGATTAATGACTGAGTAGTGCTGATTGATGCGCCAACACACAAGCGGAAAATTGCAAGGACGACTGCACAAACAGCGGGTCTCCACTTCCATGTTACCAGGTCGGAGTGCACGCTACTTAGACGAGAGAGGCACATGACCTTCCGTAGCAAGTCCAGGATTCACTGCCATGCCGGCCCAAAATAGAGACAAGGTATACCCTCAAACTCGATGGTAAGGGACGGTAGAGAAGTCTATCAAACACACGGGCGCGAGCTCCCCAAACCAGTTTTTCGGACCTTTTTTGGTAAGGCAGTCATGATGTTGTCCATTCTCCCAATTACCCAGGTGGCCCAGGTATCCAGCTAAGACGATCCAACGCCGACACCACACCGGGACCTCGGCCTCGAACCCGGTCCACCCGAGCTTCGACTGGGCCCGCTGGTGCCGCGTGCCGCCGGGTGGATCTCTGCGCTTCGAAGGGCAAGGGGGGAAGGTGGATCTCTTCGCTCCTTGGCAGCGGGGGAAGTTCCGGATGGAGACCGATGGAGACGGCAGAACGGAACAACGGGGGGGATGGATATGGATTAAACTATGGATTAAGAAGATGGGAATCCGGAGGAGCACTGGGAGGAAGGAGCACGACTGGTATGTTGAAGATGTTTGGACTATACGGAAGTAATTAGTAGATCAGGCTTCGAAGATCTAGAGCAAGTCTCAGGATTCTGTGAGTCATTCATCTAGCAGGACCTTCCCAGTGACCTTTTGGGAGTCCCATCCACCCTTCACATGCCTAAGTGACCTGAAACCTAGGGGATCAAGTTCGGTCACTGGGATGATCCAGCTATAGAGGATACATGACCCAGGCACTCCATGCATGCCATATATGATTGCCTGTACATTGGGGTGGTTGAAAAGGGGTCAATGTAGGCATATACGGCAGTCCCATGGAGTGTCTGGGTGGAGGATACACTTGAACCACATCCATGATTCGACCCAGATCGATCGCGCAAGGTCCGGCTCTTCGACGACGCGCGAGCCCGAGACGGACGTGAGTCCGTCGGCCGCAGAGGCCTGGTTCCTCCGGTGCTCTCCGCGAAGAAAGGGTCCAGGAAAGGTGAGAAACAACATCCAGGACCACGGAAGGGGTATGAAGGGGTGGCTGTTGGATGGAAAATGCATAGTCAGGGGTAGTAGGTTGAGTCCCAAAGCCACCCCATTTGGGGGCAGGGCACCCTGGTAGGATCGATACTCGTACCAACCGTTTGGGCAGTTTCAGCCCCAATCCATGTGGCCGTGATGTTCCAATCATGTTCCAGCAAACCTCTGTGCTTTCACCCGGTCACCCAGCTTCGACAATGTCGCTTTGGAATGGGTCGACGGGAGACGTCGCACGGGCCGTGCATGGCTCGCGAGAGGAGAGGTGTGGGCCGCCGGCGATGCGGCAGAGCGATGCGGGGCTCCGAGGTGCAGGCAAGTGCCAGGTGGGGACGGGTGCCAGGAGGTGGTGGTAGCAAGAAGCTACTAGGTTGGAGGCCATCGCTAGTAGGTTGGAGGCCATTACTAGTAGCAAGAAGCTACTGCTATAGCGATGCACTTGTTCCTCGTGGGTTCGGTGACAGGTGCCGAAATTCGGATCGGCTCCCTCAGGTGACGCAATGACAGTTGATCCAGGAGCCCTCAACCAGGAATAAGAATCATGATCAGGTATAAATGTCACGTGGAGTGGCACCAAACGAAATGTGTGATTCTTGGGAAACGAACAAATATTGAAGCCCACCGATCCTGCCAACGGGGAAATAGGTTCATGTCAAGTCAGGACCAGAATCACATAGAATCACACATTAAGGGCTGAAACACTGCTTAAGCTGCTGCTGAAGGAACACGTTTGCACCACACCCGGGCAGGATCATCAAGCCCTCCTGGCCCCTCCGGAAGATGGCTGGCTGGTTGCTTGGAATGAGGATTGAAGAAGCGTGTGTATCTCCCAGATACTCCATGTATCGAATATGTTTCTCCTACATTGGGGTGATTGAAAAGGGGTCAATGCGGATGAATATTCCATACATGGGTCTTTAAAATTTAAGCCCGCACCACAAAAACAGCATCATAATAAGTAAATAACACGACTATACACGACTCCTGATATCATATTCATATTCATAGCATATCACGCCTCACCGGGTCTATTCGCCTATGTCAGACCATCACTCCAAAGCCCGAATCACCCGTCCACATCCACGGGCGCCGGTTCTCGTGCGGGCATGGAGTTTGTTGCTCCACACAAGACCAGCACAGCTGGCCTTCTCCAGGTCTCAAAGAAAAATGGCGCCACATCGAACCCAGCGCCAAATCTGGGCCCAGAATGGCCCAGCCCAGAGTTCGGGTCTCGGGGGACCCCCCCCGGGTCTCAGGAAGTGAAGGTCGCCCCCTGTAGACGAACATGGACCCTGAAAAATATCTCATAATATCTCATGGTTTCGACCATGATCCTCTACAACCCAGTACCTTTATTAGAGTCAATATGATCCTCCGCAGGACATTTGGACGACGGGGGCAAAAAGTACATTCCTCGTTTCGCTTCCCCACCTAGGCCTCGGAATCGGGCTGGGCCACCCATGCCGCGTGCAGCTCCACCTGGCTGCGGAGGCCACGACCCACCGAAGGTCCCCGGTCTTCGACCGGGAGCGTCGACCGGCGCGGGCAGGTTCCGCCAATCCATCCTTCGCGGTGTAAATGGCGGCGTTCGTCTGTGACTGGCGAGAGTTCAGTGGTGGGATCGATCGTTTCCGCGGGACCATCGTGTCAAAAACCAGGAGCACCGCGCGTTGCGACGCCTGGTCGATAGCCGTTCACTCGAGATTCGCCCCACCAGTCCCAGTCTCCGAGTTTGGTCAGGCTGAAGCACCGCTCGCACCCTGAACCCAGGGCCCTGGCCTGGCCAATGTCTTTGGGCGTCCCGTAAACTTTGGAGAGACAACACGGCCAACACCGCGAAAACCGGTGGCGTTCGAACTCCACGGCAGAGCCGTTGGACAGGAGGAGCCATTTCAGATGGAGATCCTTCCTCCCCAAATCCACGAACTTGCGGAAGCTGAGCGTTTGATGTTGGAGGTGTGAAGATTCTGGGAGGGGTTTGTCAAACACTGCACTCTGCCACGAAAGGGAAGTGAAACCTTTGGGAAAGAGTTCGGATGCCCAAACAGCCTCCCTCTTTTGAGACAGACTCAACAGGCTCAGCCCATTCTCTAATTCTTTTTCTGCCCGTCAGGCGCGCAGAGAATGGCAGCAGCCTTTTCTACTGCTTGCCGCTGAAGTCTTCCTGGGCCTATTTGCCAGGCCCAGCCATCGGCGCATGGTTTTATCATTGTGATCATGGTTCTTCCTTTTTTGTCCATGGTTTCTCATGGTTCATCATGGCCAAATATGGAGAATGTGTTGATATGTGTTGATGGTCATACTTGTTTTCACCTCAGACTCCATCATCTTCGTACTCTAGAACATCTGGACGACCCACAGACCTGCCCACCGGCCCAGGCCGCGGCCTCGTGCCGGTGGACAGCTGCTTGAACGTGCTGAGCTGCATGCGGGACGCACAGACCACCTGGCGGCAGTGCTTCCAAAGTGCCCACGGCAGCAGATGGTGATGTGTATTGATGTGGAGATATGGGGAGTGGTTTACATGAAAACCGATGGTGGTGTCGGAGGCGATGTCAGAAGGATCGGCATATGGACTGCGCTCAAAAAGGCCCTACTCAAAAACAAATAGATAAATGTAGACTTTTAAGGCTGGAGGTTCGTTTTTAAGTTTTCGTTTAGAAGCGGGCCCCCAGCAGACTATGGTGATACAGCAAGGCAGCGCTAGATTGGCGCTAGGTTTCTTAATAATTAACAAGAGAAGCAAGCAGGAAAAAGAAGAAACAAGCAGAGAGCAGGAAACAGAAGAAGAAGCAAGACAAGAAAAATGAAACACAAACAACAAGAAGAAGAGGAAGAAGAAGAAGAAAAACAAGAAGAAGAAGAAGCATAAGAATGCACAACAAGAAGAAGACAAGCAATCAGGAAAAACACAATCTGATAGAATAAAGGGAGATTTTTGCGCTGGATCTGCCCTGGGAAGCTCATTACTACTAGCTTTTGCTGAGGTTGGAAGGAACACGTCGTGGCCGTGGGCGCCTGGCGCAAGCGCCTGCGAGTCATCACCGGCGAGGCGGGTGTGTCGAGCGGTCGACGGTCGGAACGATTGGTCGTTCGGATTTCTCTTCCAGGAGTCACTGACCCAAACACTCCATGTGTGGCATATATGGCATACATGGAGTGCCGAGATGTGAGTGGGGTGGCTTTTCACTTTTCAGATGTTTTGAAGTGAGATGTGACCTAGCCATCTGTCTGATCCTCCGTTTGGAACCGGGTGTCCCGATTTGTAGGTGTCCTGCAGTCCAACCGTGCTCGACTGGTCGACCTTGAATCTTGAAGCCTGCCTTCACAAGATCGGGTGTTTAAGAGCCTCAGAGGAGATGAAGAAACCCTGTAGAATGGGTCTATAGCAGGTCTATAGAGTCTAGGGCAAAACATGGATGATGTATATAAATATATCCCCCAACCGTGTTTTTTTGATGTTTTTTGTACTGCCTTCCTTCGCTACAACTCATGTCCAAAAGTGAGTGCTACGCATTGCTATGCGAAAAGCGTTACAGACCCTCGCTCATAACATCATCTCATGGACCCCGCTCAGATCCAACATACAATTGCCCAACACAAGTGATTGGTCATGGTTTGGGGCTTTGAACAGGGGACCCGAAAAAACTATGTCCAAACACACATTTTACATATTGCGTGGAGGTCGCGAAATGCGCGCCCATTTTCGGGCTTTCCACTTTGTGCCCCAAACAGAAAGAACATCAAAGAACATTGTGTGGGACACACCCTCTCCTTTCGATTGACTGACTGTCCATCTTTGCCCCCAGATTCAGATATATTTGGTTACGGGCCGGAGAAAATAATCTGTACAAGAGCAGCTTTGCTACTATAGCAGCGTCCTTGCTCCTAGTAGCAAGGCCAGGAGCTACGTTCGTAGCGTCCTTGCTCCGTTCGTAGTAATGCCCTTTGTTACTAGTAGCTTCAAGTTGAGCTGCAAGTCCTCCGGACCACTTCTCGCCACTCCCGCCCTTTCGTGGGTTCACCGGACCGTCCCGGACCGGGACCCGCGGGCTTCCCCCCCGGCCTCCGCCCTCCGCCTTCGCCTCGTGGGGAGAGCCGCTAAACCCGCAAGCCGTGAGGCACAGGAGAGCCGCTCGGAGCACTTCGAGCTGCGCACGGCCTTCCGGAAGCCCTCGCTGAAGCGCAGCGCCTCCACGTCGAGCACGCCCAAGAAGGCCAGGGCGTTGTTCGATGGGGGGACATGGGGTCAGATCGCACAAGGGGGTAGGGAGTACGGCTTTTGTGGGTGGGAGCACAGACAGAGCTTGGGCATGCTTGGGCAGCCAGTTACCACATGTTACAACATGTCGCTCCAAGCGAGCAAGGAGTTTCAAGAACACCAGCAGAATCAGCAGCACACCAAAAGTCCGGATTGCGCTCACACCACTGGTTTGTAGAGCGTACCTTCCACCGTGCCTCCAGGATATGTGGGTGATTTTTAGGGTATTGTTAATTGTTCCGCCTCCAGGAGCAGACTACTATAATCATAATTTATCCACCATGGACCATGACCTGACCACAATCATATTGACCTTAGAGACAATCATCCCAGTGGTTATATTAATTATTGTTAAACAAACATCAAACAACATATTAAATTAACATGTGTTTATTGGTACTCCAATGGAGGCTTGGTTTCTGATTACTGCATCCCTCTTGTACTCTAGATTCTTCCAACCTCGACCGACCGCGTCGCGCAGCGCACGCGCGGCCCTGCGCCGCGAATCGAGGTGTCCTTCGCTTCGACCGACGAAGACGTCGAGTCGCCGTCGGCGCCCGAATCGGTGGAAAAAAGAGCGGTCTGCAGGTGGAGCAGTGGTTGCGAGGATGACCACTGATCATGCACCCTGGTGGACCTCGAAGTTTGGTTCAATAAAAGCGCAAGACATGGTTGGACATCCTGAAGACATGGATGTGAGGATAAGTCTTCGTCTTCGTCACCAGATGAGTGAATAGGAGTGGGGCACTCTTTTCCATGCACATCGTGATTTGGCGTTGTTGCTGCGTTTGTTTTGTTTGCGTTCGTTTTGCTTGTATTTGGCCTAGCAGGCTAGCCATGCATCGACCTGCACGGTTTGGAGACCCCTTCAAAAATTGTGTCAAGTTAATTTAAGATCTTTTTGAGCCAAAGCAGTTGGGCTTTACTAGATATCTACAGACAGAAGCTTGCACCATCTTCTTGCTGACACAGCCATTGCCGACACATAAAGACTGAAGAGCCGTTGCGGGCACCACAACCGAGGACCGGAATTTTAAACCTGCTTTTGAGCTTCAGGCTTCAGACCGATGGTGTTTGGACAAAACACGGGCGCCCACTCGGACCAAGCAATCACCGAGTCTCAGTGACCAGACCGAAAGATCATGAAACAACACTGGACAACCTTGCACTTGAAATCTTATCACAGCAGCCAAGCTACCTAAATCACAAGATTCCAAGAAGCTTAGACACCAAAGGCGGCAACGCGACTCTAGACTTTGCATGCTGTGAAAGCAGCTAAGAAGTCCTTTTCACTGTGACATATCTCTATACAGATCATCAATAGACCGAAGATTGTCGAGCAACGAAGCCATAGACGCAGATCCGGCGCCATTCCCGCTTTTCGACGCGGAGGAACGCAATGGGAGATTGGTCCTTGGCACCTTTTGGACCTGGGGCGGTATGCCTTCTGAATACTAGATACTATAGATGATCACATCCTCTAGCCACAACTTAGAATTACCATGTATATAGTAAGTCCAGGTCGAGGTACAAGTTCCATGAGATTGTGAGCTGGAGTAATTACCTGCATATCAACCCTCAAAGGGGTGTTTCTTTTTCCTTCATGACTCAATGACCATCTAACTCATCTCCTTGTGACCAGCCCAAAGGCTTCACACCACTCCGTCGAACCGCACGAGTCGTGTTCGGCGTCCACTCGTCGTTTCGGATGGCGGACTTTTCCTTCGACCCGAACAGCCCGAAGACCCACAGAGAGAGGGCGGGGATCAAAGTCGGAGACCCATGTGAGTTTGGAAGGGAAGTTACCCCTGGGAGTCAAAGACTATAAAAAGAATGGTCTTTAGGGGACCTGAAAGGGAACTTCCTTTCCTTCAGCCGGTCAAAATATAGTCTTTGGACTTCTAGGGTTACTATATGGACTGCATCGCCTGTCGCTGACAGGTTGCCAGCGGAGTGAGCAGTTTGCTTTCGCTGAGCGTCGCTGGGTGTTTTTGAAGCGACTAAAGAACAGGTGGCTGGTGGGTCGTCCGTGAACCGTTCAAAGCCCAAGAACTCATGCAGGTCCAAACCCAGACATTCAACATCATTCAACCTTCCATGTTTTTCATATCCTTACATTGCATGCTGTATGCAATGGAAATCCCTCTTTAAAAAAAAGCACTCAACTGCTGAGTCCATTCTGTTTGTCCGTCGTCATGTGGTCATGCGGTCATGCGTCGCGTGTCTCGCCAGGATGGAGTCCACTCCTTTGACCCTGGTGCCTGCGGCACCGTCGAGGTGGTGGCAATGGGCGGCGTAAACGGGAACCGGGAAAAGCGACAGGAGGAGAAGCGTGACGACACGTCCTGAAAGTACCGGTACGACCGGACCCTCCTGGCACCCACTCCACACACCTTCTTGGAAGCTACTTGGAGCTCTAGGGATCATGATGTTCATCGATGTTCTGGAAGGTGGAGAAAGAACCGGGAAAAAACCTGGGAGAGAACAGGGAAAAACACATCAGATTGAGCGTGTTTTGATGGGCTTCATCACGTGGACATTGGCTAGCCTTGACCCAAAGCAACACGAAGGACGGGGCCCAACTCCGGAGTCCATTTTGGAGGGATCCACACGAGCACGGCCTAGTGTAAAAATGCAATGGTATTTGCCATTGAAACCACCCAATACCCTAGTATGGTATAATAACATTCCATACATGGAGTGTTTGCTAATTGGCCGGAAACGGTTGAGGAGGTTGGTCTGAGGCTGCAGCGTATCCCCTTGTCATTTCTATGATTGTTTTTATTAATACAAGTTTTATCGAGTGTTCAACACAAACAACCACGGACTGGGGCTATCCACCTTGAAGCTGGAAGAAACATCCTCACAGACCTCCAACTGATCACAAGCCTATTCTGCGAGGATCCTCTCCTTCGGTGGCCGGTTTCGGGTCAGGCGGCGTCGGCGGGAAGAGGGCGAATCCCATCGCAGGAGCGGCCGACCGGTGGTTATGGACGCGGTGTTCACCGATCTTCCTGGCGCCAAGGGGGGTTCTTCTTGTTTTTTGCGTAAGAGGATGTGAACGATTCAAGTACTTGTCAAACACCATATATAGTCGTTTCTCATGGTAAAAGGATGTATAAGGGCAAAAAGGAATCATATGAAACATTATGAATTCCACGACTATCCCTCATGTGTCATTTGATTTACAGAAATCCCATGGTAGCAGCATAGCTCCAATTTGCAGCTGAACCATTTGCCCATAGATAGAGGGAGTTGAGAAACTCAAAAGAAACTCACAAACTGACAAAGAAACTCAAAGGAATCTCTAAAACCTTCACATTCTGCGGCTTTGACTCCAACTGACCCCGAGTCGCGCCCAGGCGCCGCGCCAGCCGCAGCCGCGACCGCGACCGCGCCTCGCGGCGCGAGGTGCGCCACGCCGAGGCGCCGCCCAGCGACTGGCTGGGGCCGTCGGAGCCGGAGCGCGCTTCCTCCGCGGCCTTCGGGCGGAGCGAGTGGGCACCGCAACTGGGCTGGGACCGTGAGGCCAAAAGAGGATGAAATTGGTAGAGGAGCAGTAGAAGTGTAGGTCGAAGTGTAGTCCATGAATCATTGTCCACTTCCAATGCTTGTTGGTGAGAGGACAAAAAAGACCGCAGTCATAATGACTATATATAGACATGACTTGTTTTGCTTGAGAAATCCTATCACTCAAATTCAGCATCGGCCACGCCGGCTCCCGGCCGCGCGAGCCCGCGCGAGCCGCCCCAAGGTACGCGCCCCCGGGCCACATGGCCTGGCCACCGCAGCGGCCCATGTATCGCCCTCCAGGCGGTTCTCTGGGAGCGGTCCACAGTTCTTTCACCCTTTTGACAGGTCCTAAACGGTCCGCCGAAACGCTAAACGCTGGCCACTCCAAAGCGAGCGAATGTGTGACCTTTTGTTTGTTCAACCTTTACTTCTCCAGACTTCTCACAGACTTCGAATTCATTTCCCGTTTCCAAGCGCCGCACGAGCTCCAAGCTTCTTCGGCCCACTCCCTTTCTCAAGTCCCCCCTCCTCGGGCCAGGTGGCTATGTTCCGTGGGGTGTGCCACCACCGCGGGAGCCGGACTGGCGGCCGGCCATGGGAGCTCCAGGCACGTCGTCTGCGGGGCGGTGTGGGTTTTTGCTTGGGAGGTTTTTGGGTGGGAGAGGAGGTTTTAGGGGTGGGGTGGGAGGATGGTCGCAGTGTCACCAAAAAATAATATACAATATAGAATAGAATAACATGATATAACTACAATTGCCCATATATAGTAATGAAACAGAATGAAACCATGTTTCCACAATGCGCCGTTTGGGTGTGGTTGAGGTGAAGGGTCACCCACTTTCGGAGTGTTCAACCCAGCCCGTTTGCGGAGTGGATGAAGCTCTATAGGGGATCAAACGGATTTATATAACTATACTTGCCAGACCTTCCTCAAAAATCACATGCCAGCATTCAGAAGATGCAAGAGGCGTTTTTAGGGTCAAACCTTTACGAGGAAACACATTTTCTTGGATTTGCAAAAGCTCACCATGCATCTCACTACATGGGTAGACAAAGCTCGATCATTCTGCATCACAACAAAAGACCGTGTTCATATTCCCATATTTATTAAGCAGATGATATACCTGCGACATCCTGTGATCTTGTGGTTGCTTTTTTGGATCGGTAGTTCAACATACCGTTTTGGGGTCTTTGAAACACACAAATAACATCCGCACCCGAAACAAACATCCACTGAAAAAACACGTGCGGGTAAAAATGCCCGTGGAATTTGAGAAAATAGAAAACTATAGAAACATCCGGAGACTCAACTCAAAGGCTGTGACTCCAAAAGATGGTGTTCACGCTGCAGGTTTGAACACAAAGTCGGGAAATGCGTACTGCACTGAATGCCTCATGCCACACGGCAGCTTAGGTATGCTTAGGTGAAAAAAGGTCCTGAGTAAAACATGTATACAGTTTGAGCATCCTGAAGGTCAAGGTTCGAGGCCCAAGAGGCCAAAGGTGCACGGAGCCCAACATTCACAAACTGCAGATACAGGAAGGTGATCAGCCTTCCCCTCCCATCCATGAACGTAGCGTCGTGGCACACGGTGGGAAGTTTCAGGTACGGGCATCCAATCAGAACTTCTTCAAGTGCTTGTAGTTCACAAATGTTCACAAAACAACTTCAACTTGAGCATGAATCAAGAATCGGATTGTCCGTTCACAACTCCTTCTCTGTCGAGGGGCACAACAATGCATTGCTAGAGCACTTGGTTTTAGGGTTTGGGACGCCTCCAAAAGATCATCTTGGGTGTGCTGGGGCTGGGCTTTTGCTGGCCAGCTCAAATTCTTGCGCAGTAACTATATGCTTCATTATGCTTCATGTTCTGGTCATTGCATCTCGCACATGGGTTGGTGCATGACACGCATGAGTACATGGGGTGGAATTATGACCATCCATCCGCCGCGCTTCAACCACCGGCACAGGCACTTGGACACCACCGGCGCCCAGCTGGACAGGCGTGCCACCGGTCGACTGCTCCAAACCGACCGCTCCACACCGAGAGTCTTGAGTAGGATCCATGCCGAAGTTTCGTGGGACATCGGTTGAAAACTGGTTCTTCAGTAGGGAGACCTCCCAGTTGGATCCCCTCCCGGCATCGGCGACGAGGCCCTCCGACGCATTGGGTCGGCCCAAGCTATGAGAAGGGCCCCTTCGAGGCGTCCACGTCACTGGGATTGCAGGGAGTGGAGCTGTG